CTTTTTCTAAGTCTCCTAACAGGTTTCTTTTCCTCTTTCTCTTTGGTAAATGTGGATTCACCCGCTCCCTCCTTCCCTTCCCTTGTCAGGCATACTCTTTGTAAGCAATTTTATCATCATCTGTGGTTTAAATGACCATTTATATATGCTAATGTCATACACTGTTACAGCCTCCAATCTATATGGCCAACTGCCTTCTAGACATTCCTGTTTTTAATGGCCCAAAGGCACCTCAAACTTAATATGTCTCAAACTGAATTTATCTTCTTTGTTTCTAGAACTGACTGTTCATTCTGCATTTCTATCTGTATATATGGTAACATCCATCCATCTAGGGACTCAGGCCAGATGCATGACAGAAGCCAGGTTGTTCCTCACGTCCAGACTCCTGTGGCTGCAAATCCTGTTGACTTGCCACCCCTCTCCCATCCATCTGCCTTTTTCTGACACTGCTGGACTTGGACATTTTGGCTCCCCTATCTGGATCATCTCAATAATTTCTGGACTGGTTTTCCTATTGGCCTTTATCTCCTTTCTCCCACCTAGAGATTTGATGTTGTTTTTTCTTCATCATTGTTGTTGATTTACATTTTTTTTTCTTTAGTGTCTTTTTCAGACTAAAAAGGAATATACTCTTATCATAAAATAGCCAATAGTTTATAAGGCTGTAAAGAAAAAGGTAAAGTTACCCCTGATCCAGTCCTCAAATCTTACTCCCAAATAGACTTTTTTTTCTAAAAATAGGAATTTATTAATCATGCTTTACTTCTTCCACTTTAAGAGGCACCTCGCCCCCCCCCACACATTTTAACATCTCTGAAATCAAATTATCATACAATCAATGGTGTCTTAGATTTGGTTAGATACATTATTGTTCTGCAATGTCCTATTTTTACTCGTTCATATGGGTCACAATTCCAAACTGGCACTTACCTCCAGGATCATGTTTCTAAAGTACAAATCTGGTCAGGTCACTAACCCTCCTAAAAATTCTTCAAAGGCTCCTCTCCCTACCCCAACCCCTTCATCTTCTGACTCCCTCCTAATTTTGCGAGTCTTGTTTCTAGCACATCCACACAGATCCTCTTCCTTAAAGCCAAGCAGACCTATTTGCAGTTAGTTCCCCAAATATGCTCTGCTGAGCCAGATCTTGGGCTTTTGCACCGACATTTCCTCTGCCTCTTCCTCACCAATTCTACTCCAAGTTGCCTCTTATTGGAAAATTGTCCTGATCCTCCAAGCTGAGCCTGGGTTCTTTCTTTATGTACTGCCTCTCAATTTCTCCAGCATCTGACCTTTGTTAAATCACTTCACACACAGGTTTAAGCCATTTCTCTTGTTTGTTGCTCCCAATAAATAGTGAGTTCTTGAGCATGCGTTCTTTATACTTGTTTCCAGCAGTGCTACAGCCACCTAGGTGTCACAATAATATTCCTGGAAATAAAGAACTCTCTCTGAGGGAAGTATAAAAATGTTTTCTGAGATAAGGTGAAGAACATTCTAATTAACCATCGCCTTAGCCTGGGACAAGACAGAGAAAAAGGAGGAAAGAAGGTCTTAATGTTAAGCCACCTGGGCTCACAGAAAGCTAAAGCAATGGGTTTTTTTTCCTTCCCCTCCCTGCTTTATACTCCTCTGGACTCTTTCCACTCTCAACTAAAGAGAATCTGATTGCAACAACTATGACCTTGGTGACCCCTTCCTTTCTTTCTAGTCCTAAATGCTTCAAGTTCAAACCTCTATGTTGTCACCTCTTCTTGCCACAAGCTCCCTATTTGGTAACCAGTTCTGACAAGTACCAAAGGGGGATTCTTTCCACTTGCCGCTCTACAGCGCCCAGCTGCATTTTGTTTGGCCTCCCTCCCACCCCAGGTATAGACACACCTCACAGTCCCACCGACTCCACCAGGAAATAAACACAGAAGGAAGCTAAAGTGTAATACAAAACTTGTATTCTAATAACTAGCCTAAAGGCTTGGTGGGGTAGGGTATAGCTCAAGTGATAGAGCACATGCTCAGCATACATGAGCTCCCAGGGTTCAATTCCCAGCACCTCCATTAAATAAACAAACAAACAAACCTAATTACCTCCCCCCCCCCGACAAAAAACAAATACAAAAAAAACTAAAGGCTGGAAGTTGCTGTAAAGACCTCAGTGGAAAACATTTGCCCCCTCTTAACTCAGTATTGGGTTTAGACTCAAAAAAATGCCAAAAATAGACAAAAAGGTTTCCCAGTTTTTTCTTTCTGACCTAGATAATTTAAAGCCAAGGATTCCAATTCATTCATGGAAAAGTACCAGGGTATGCTGAGGACTTAGAACGAAGCTCACCTAATGTGGCCTGTGTGGCATTCAGTAAAACTGGCCCATGCTGAAACACGCTGACAACTGTGGGACCAACATACTTTCAATGCCTTCCCTTGGCACAAAGGACAGGGACTCATGAAACAATCAGAAATAGTAGAGCCAAAGGAGAAAAAACGGAAAGATGAGGGTCATACAGGAAGGAAGACTGTCAAAAGACAGGGCAGGAGAAAATAGGCACTTTATAATGGGAAATATAGCCCACAGGGGATTCCAAAAATAAGCAAATTTGCTGTCACAGTAGGGGCTGAGGGCAAACAACCAGTCACAACTGAAAGAACTGGGAAGACAGCTAAAGAAAGAATGGGAGAGGGTGCGGAGCCAGATAGGCAAATAGATAAAGCCAGGAAAGCATCTCTGGCATGTAAACAGGATTGATTTTTTTTTTTAAGTCTCAACTCAGAGCCCAGATGGATTATTACAGAAGGGACAAGGTCAGCCTGTGGTTAAATAAAATGAAGGGGGAAAGCAGCTGTTAGGAGAAGGACTGTGAGTCTACTGTCTTCAAGAGACCAGCGTTTTGAAACTAGAGTTTTGGAATTCGATATTTGGAATTAGAAAATTCACAGCCCCTCAGTGGAGAATTAGAGCCAAACAGACATTCTAATATTGGGAGCAGCCACGTCAAATCAAGCTAGACTGCAATGCTGAACATTCTGAACGTGTGAAGGAAATCTTACCTTTAGAGGGAAAAGACTTCATCACTTAAGCTAACACAAAAGAGACTGTACAAATTTGTTCACAAATTTTGGAGTAAATAAAAACAAAGTAACACTAGACATCAAATACCTTAACTGCTGAGAAGTAATTTCTGTTCATTTCCGCTACCAGGGAATCATTTCATAATTCCTGTTCAGTTCAACCACCAAATTTGATTTTCCTGGCATTTTAACGTTAGCCAATTAGGAAGGAAAAAGGCCGAAATCAACCTGTAACCTTCAGAGTGATTTCTCTTTTCAGTACAGACTTTGGTGTATTTGGACTCCTTGGAGCCAGCGTTTGGAGGGCAGGATCACCAGATCAAGACAGGCTTGTTTTAGATGCAAAATGGGCCCCCCCCCGATCTGGACACTGCCTCAGGGAATCTGAAATTACTACCCTACAGCGTTAATAAAAGTATCTATCTGTTGCCGAGACCGCAGGGTGCTGGTTAATTTGCACCTTTTCCTCCAGCCATCGACTTCAGCCGTGACTTACGCAGAGAAAGGAGAGAGCGGGAACAGATCTTCTATTGTTTTCGTCTCCTACGTGGCTGAGACCCAAAGGAGCGGCGGGTCGCCTACCTGCTTTCCATTCCCCGGGCTGGGAGCAGCTGCGCGTCCTGCAGAGAGGTTCGTTGCCGGCTCCGGCTCGCTGACGACCTCACCTACGGCATTCTCCCGGGTTCGGACCAGTCTGACTCATCTGAGATGGGTGGCAGGGGTGGGGGAGACCTCGGAGGGCGGAGGGACAGGAGGAGGCGGGCCGGGCCCTTCCCCCGGAGTCGGGGAGGAGGCGTCGCCAGGGCGCAGGTGAAACCGACTCCGACCTATCCCGGGAACTTTCGCTTGCGGGGACTGGCTGCGAGAGGCGAGCGTCGCGCAGGGGCGGCCCCGGAA